CTAGACTCTTGATCCATATATGTATCCATATATGTATATTTGTATGTGTGTATGTGTGTGCGCACACACACACACACACACACACTCTCACTCCCTTTTACCTCTAAGAGCAAATACAGACTCCTCTTGACTATTTAGAGCCTTTCACAACCCAGCCTCAACCTACCTTTACCACCCTGTTACATATTACTCCCATTCTCTTACTCTGTGCTCCAGTCAAACAGGCCTTCAAAGTGGAATGAGCCCCAACTGCTTAGGCAGTAGGGCAGAGTGGGTGGATCATTGGGCCTGGAAACAGGAAGACCTGACTTCAAATCCTACCTGAAGTACATTGTGGCTGTGGGACCCCGAGCCAGTCACTTAGCCTTCTTCTTGGCCCGACTCCTGATAGCTGAGCGTTATTTTCATGGCTTGGGCTTTTCTCTGGGGACTTCATAGTCTGCACTAAGCACTTGCCAGAAGCTCAGGCTTGTAAACCACTTTTTAATCTCAGTTTCAGCACTTATGGGGGGAGGGGCAGGAGCAGGCCAGTTGTAGGAGCTGGGCCTCCTTGTTAGGAAGAATGTGGATACTCTGGAATGTGTCCAGAAAAGGGAGACCAGGCGGGTTAGGGGCCTGGAACCAGGGCTAGCTGAAGATCTTGGGGAAAAGCTGAGTGAGTGTGCTCAGAAGATCCAACGGATGTTTGTTGGTTTCACAACCCCTAAGTGAAGAACTCTGTTCTAGAACCAGAACTAGAACTTCTCTGGGGCAGAAGCTGTATCAAGCCAGGTTTCATCTTGGGGTTTTTGTTACCGTCCAGACTCAGGACCTCATTGGTGTAGGGAAATTCTGGTGTGGAAATTCCCTCCCCCAAGGCAGATCAGCCATCCCTCAGTAATTTTTAATCTTAGCGAGGACCTGGGAGGTGAACTGATCTGTCTCGAGTCGCACAGCCTTTTGTTAGGGGCTGGATGTGAACCACATGAGGGGAAATTTCTTGACCATTAGAGTTGTCCCAAAGTGGACTGGGCCACCTTGGTAGGGAGTGAGTGAGTTCCCAGTTGCTGCAGGAGGCTTCTGTTGCAGGTTTGGCTCTAATCCCAGTGCCCTTAGCTCAGATTTGATGATGGGATGAAATGAGGTCTGCAAGGGGTGTTGAGCAAAGAAAGTTGGCTTCGCTCAAAGCCAAAACAGAGGGAAGCTTTGCTTCTCTGAATGGACCCCCCTCCTCTCCACAGAAACGAATCTGCTCAGGGTATCATAGGTGACCCCCGAGTCTGAGAGGCACCAACTACATTTGCTGGGACCTTTCATGGCCCCACCCCAGGAAGCTGCGGCCAATAGGCTTTCGTGGGAGGAGGAAGTCAGGAAACTCGGGAAGGCAGAGTGGAGACAATGCTGGTCCTGTCGCTGGTTGGGATGTTGTCTGGAGGCTCCTGCTTAACTGGGTTGGAGCTCCCTTTGTTCCCTTCCAGCTCCCAACGTGTGATTAGGGGGCTGGCAGGGACCTTCATTACTCCACGCCTCAACTTTCTCTTCTAGCTTTGTGTTAAACACGGGACCAAGGCACAGATCCCTGGGCCACTCCCCTAAAGACAAGAGCTAAAGACTGACTGCACTTTGGCCCTTCAGCCCGTTCCACAGCCACCCGATTGCACTGTCATGTGACTTAGACCTCCCCATCTTGTCCTCAAAAATATTTAATTCTGCTTAATGCATTTATTAAGCACTACTATGTGTAGTAGTAGGCACTGTGAGCTAGGCTCTGGATGTATACAAAGATAAAAATGAATTGTCTCTGCCCTCAAGCAGCGAGAGGAGTATGATATGCTGTAAGTAAGGAAATATCATTTATATAGTAATAATGCAGAGTGATTTCAATAAGGAGAGAGTGCTAATGACTGGGAGACTGAGGAAAGGTCTCAGGAGGGGTGGAAAGTAGGGTTAAACCTGTTCACGGAGGGAGGAAATGGAATCTTGTGCCTGGTAAATACCTACCACGCCAGGATAACTACAAGGAGGGGATAGATACGTAGGAGGGAATAACATGAGAAGGTGGAGAAGGCTTGTCAGATGCTTTGATAAAATGTTTGTGACTTAGATCTACAGCATCCCCCTGATCTCTGTCTAGTAACCCTGTCCAAAAAGGAAATTAGGGCAGTTGGGCATGTTACTGACAAAGCCATGACTCTTGTCATCACTGCTTCTTGGACAAAGGTATGGAGGTGGGAGAATCTTATGGAGGGAGGACATCCCCAGCCCATTTTGTCCAGAGCAGAGACTGCATACAGTGAATAATATGCTAGAGTTCTGAAAAAGATAGAGAAATGTTGTCAAGTACTTTGCCAACATCTTGGAAATTTTTATCTAGAAAAATATGTGTTGGGTCTAGTAAATTGTGTCTATTCCTTGACCCCTTGTCATCAATGACTGCTTCCTTCCCTTAAAGGATACATTCTAGAATTTGGCCAAGAATCAAAGTCAAGCTCATTGGGCTGTAGGTGGCTGACTGTTTTCTTCCTTTTTGGGGGCTAAATCAGGACACCTCATGGCCTAATCTAGCCCTGGGATAATTCTCCTTTTCTCTGAGGTCTTTGAATGATCACTGACTGTGACCCGGTTAGCACGTCCTCCAGCTGTCTCAGAGCCTGTGGTTGGAGTTTATCTGGGCCTGTGGACAGCCTGGAGCTCTCACATTATCCCCCTTAATTATCTCTAGTCACTCTCCTAGTCATTCTCCCGGGCAGAGAAAATACAAACAAAATTCAAAGTTTCTAATTCTTATTTGTCCATTATCATCGTTCCATCTACCGCAAGCAAAAATCCTGCCCCTTCTCTAATTCTCCTTTTTTTCCCCATTACAACTCATTCTCACCCTTAACCCTCCTGACAAGATCTTTAAAGGATCATCACCTTTGTTTATGGCCATCTCCTGCTGGTTACTTGGCTTTATTTCCATCTTCTATACATTTCTTTTTAAAATCTGCCCGTTGGTGAGTTCTCTGTGCATCCACATTGGTTTCTTGAGACGAGTGCCATTTTCCCTCCTCATTGGAGATTCTTTGTGTCTTCAGCATTTCATTTCTGATAATCTTTTATCTCTCCTATATTGACTTCCCCGATGTCGCCATCATTACTGTAAAATGTCTCTGAGCTAGGCTTGTGATAAGTTTCCCAGACTCCTCGTCTATTTCCTCCTCCAGCCCAGGTGGTCTAATGTATATTTCAGTGGTAAAAGCTCTTCTGTTTCCTCCTCCATTGACTTTCCTTCAGATGCCTTCCCCTTGGTTTCTGAATTTCCTACATAAGTATACCTTTTGTCTCCTATGAATGTCTGATCGTTTACTGCTGATCTGTCATTGTAGCTTGCCCTCCTCAGTAATTCAGGAGGATGTGTAGCGCCCGGTGTTTAACACAGTGCCTAGCCGGTACTACTTGCTTCTTGACTGATTGCCATAGGCAGCCATTTTTTCACTTTTTGGTTGGAAGGCTTTAATCAAGTCCATACTCCTTTGCCTGGCATTCAAGGCCTTCCACAGTCCCACCTACTTAACTTCTTCTAGCTTTAGCTCAAGCTGCTGCTCCTCCTAGCACCTGCTGGCATCCATTGTGTGATGGGACAGTGAGAAAGTCGATGGGATCTTAAACTGCACTCAGGGCTTCCAGGGAGAGGGGCCTGGATGGTGCTGCTGGTCTCTTCCCTGGTGTGTGTTCAGTTCTGGGCTCAGAAGGTTCTGAAGGATTTGGATAAACTGGGAGCCTGGAGGGAGGGCAACCAGTGTGGTGAAGGTCCTACATGAGTGCAGATGATGAGTTAAAGGCTGCGCCTTTCCTGACCTCTCAATGCCAGTGCCTTCCCTCTGTTAATTAGCTCCTACGTATCCTGTATAGTTTCCCTTGTGTATATTTGTTTGCAGGTTGTCCTCCTCCATCAGATGGTAAGCTCCTTGAGGCAGGAGCTTTCTTTTGCATCCCCAGTACTTAGCACAGTCCCTGCACATAGTAGGCACTTAATCAATGTTGATTGATTATTCAGAGGAGGGCAACAGTACATGTGAGATAGGGATTAGTTGAAAGAACTGGGGGGGGGGGGGTTAGGCATTTAATTTGGAGAAGTGAGTTAGGAAGGATTCTGTATCTGCCTTCTAGTACAGAAGGGCTGTCACATGGAAGAAGGATTAGACAGCTGAACTAGGGGCAGTGGGTAGAGGTTGCCCAGAGGCAGATAAAGACTTGGTGTCAGGAAACAATCCCTAACCATTAGACAAGTGAGCCAAAGAGGAATGGACTTGGGCTGCTGTGGCTGGGGAAAGGAAAGGAAAGGAGCAAAGTCTTCAATAAAGGCTGGATATCTCCGGTCCAGCACGATGTAGGAGGGGATTCTTGCAGCCCACCCACCACTCCTCATTGTGCCTTCTGGGGCCAAGCAGAACAAAACTAGGCCTGGTGCATGATGGTCTTTTACATCCTTGAAACCCACTCCCATGGCCCTCATGCAGGTTGAACACCCCAAGGTCCTTTGGGCCATCCTCATGGGAGGTGGGCTCTTCGCCCTCCCCCTCATCCTCCTTTATGTTCTATCCTGCTTATGAGTGTCTGTCCTTACCTCAGCCACCAACACTGACCCCTCCTTGGTCCTGGGGGTCATACACTATCCGTCTGGCTGCTGTGCGGAGTGACTTTTCATTCAGAAGACTCCTCAGGATTTTGGAGTGTCTTGGGGTCATCATTTATATGACAGGATTTAAGATTAGATGGGTCCTTCAGAATGTCTAGTCTGGATCTCCCATTTTACAGATGAAGAAACTGAGAACCAGAGAAGGGAACTGACTGGACGGAATAAAACAAGAATTTAGTAAGCACTTACTAGGTGCTGAGGATACAAATTAAAGCAAAAGACAACCCCTGCCCTCAAAGAGCTCACAATCTAAAGGGAGAGGACGGCATATATATAAGAGGGAGCTGGTAGGGTAGAAATGAAGATTTTTTTCAGACCTGTTTCCTCGTTGCCCCGGCAGTTTTTGCTGATTTTCCGGAAGGCAGCCTCAGGGGAACTGGAGGAGGACAGTGGCTTGATGTCTCTGGCAAAGCTCTCGGAGATCAACGTGGCCACTGAAGGAGTGAAAGGGGCCAAGAACTTCTTTGAAGCCAAGGTAAGAGGGGGGACCGCTGTTGACCTGCCTTCACCGCCCTCCCCCAAAGGACTTCCCTTCCTGTCCCTGACCCCCTTTGCTGGTCCAGGAAAAAGAAACCAGCTGCTCTTGAATGTGTCCTACAGTAACCAGGAAATGGGAGCAGTCCAGCTGGTTGACTTGTAATTCATTCCTTAATCTTACTTTTATTGGTATTTTTTATGTGCTCATCACCTTCATTTCCCAAAAATATCCCTCATGGGGCAGCTAGGTGGTGCAGTAGACAGAGCACTGGCCCTGGAGTCAGGAGGACCTGAGTTCAAATCTGGCCTCAAACACATGACACTTACTAGCTGTGTGACCTTGGGCAAGTCACTTAACCCCAATAGCCTCACCAAAAAAAAAAAAGCAAAAACCAAAAAATATCCCTCAACTCTTCCATACCCAGAGAGTATCTATTATAGGATTAAAAAATAAAAAGGGGGAAAAGTAGTCCAGTAAAACTGACCAACACATCAAACATGTCTGATAAGGTTCCACACCCCTACACCTTCTCCTCTGTAAAGAGGTACAAAAGGAGGCGTTTTCTCAGATCCTATCTGGAACTAACCAGTCAAAAGCATTTATTAAATTCCAAGCCCTGCACAACACACCAAAAAGAGCCAAAGACAAAAGTGGAGGAGTTCCTGCCTTCAGGGAGCTGACATTCTATTGGGGAGACAACGTGTACATAAAGAAAGATATGGAGTTAGTCAATAGACATCAAGTACCCACTGTGTGCTAAGGGCTGAGGATACAAAGTAGGGTGGATAGTTGATAATAACTGAGGAAACCATCCTAGTTATACGCTTTATTAGCAAAATAAGCGTAATATGTAACAGCTTCCACATATCCTTTTTTTTAAAATATCACATTCTAGAATGTATCATTTAAGGGTTTGTCAGCAGCTAGAAAAGGAAGTGGTCATCACAAGGGATTAAGGAATAAATACAATTTACTAGATATTTTTCTAGATAATAAGATGCTATAGATACAGTTTGCAAAGATCTTGGCAAAGCACTAGAGGACCTTTCTCTACGTTTTCAGACGTCTTACATGTTATTTTCCACGTGCAGTCCCTGCTCTGGCCAAATGAGTGGCTGCTGGATGTCCTCCCTCCATAAGATTCTATCTCCCACTTCCATACCTTTGTCCAGGAAGCAGTGGTGACCAGAATCAACGTGGCTTTGTCAGTAACATGTCCAACTACCCTCATTTCCTTTTTGGACAAGCTTACTAGACTGAGAGATCAGGGGAATGCTGCAAATATGATTCACAATAATTTCATCGAAGCATCTGACAAAACTTCTCTACCCTCAGTTTCTTCAACTGTAAAATGGGGGTAATGCTAGTACCCACGTTGGAGGGTTGTTGAGAGTCTCAAATGAGGTAATATTTGTAAAAAAGCGCCTGGCACACGGTAGGTACTATAAAATGCATGGTCCCTTCCTTCTTCTCTGGGCCTGCCCTTCTCGTCTTTAAAATAAAAGGGTTGGACCAGATGGCCTCTAAATGCCCTTCTTAAATGCTGGGGCCAAGCTTCATGGCACATTCAATGACAGGTTGTGCGCCGGCTCCCAGATGTATGGATACTCTGATCCAAGATAAGCCTCTGCTGTGAAAGCTTCCTTAAGAGGAAGAGGAGGCTTCTGCAGGCAAGTCTCTCCCTTGATGGGGGAAAATGAGAGCCTGACTATACCTGAGGGGTCTCCCTGCTCGGCCGTCTCAGAGCTTTTCTCCCTTACCTAGGCACCTACATGGTGCGGTGGCTGGATCGCTGGACTTGGAGTTAGGGCTTGAATTCAAATTCTGCCTCAGATAGCTATTAGCTGTGTGATCTTGGGCAAGTCCCAAGCTCTCTCAGCCTCAGTTTCTTCACCTGCAAAGCACGGTTGATTGGACTCCTAAGGTCCTAAGATCCCTTTTAGCTTTAAATAGATAATCCTAGGATTCCCTGCTCCCAATCCTCTAATCTGACAGGCAGCTAGGTGGTGCAGTGGATGGAGCACAGGCCCTGGAGTCAGGAAGACCTGAGTTCAAATCTGGCCTCAGACACTTGACACTTACGAGCTATGTGACCCTGGGCAAGTCATTTAACCCCATTGCCTAGCCAAAATAATAATAATAATAATAATAATAATGATAGTCTGAGAAGTGGTCCCCAGAGCTCCCAGGGACCAAGAGCCCAGTCAGGGGAGAGCTTTGTTAGTCCAAAGCACCAGTCCTTCAGCTCAGCTCCAGATGTGTTCTAATCCAGCTGCTGCTGCCTGGAAAATGAGGAGTGGCCTGGACCCTCCCTTCCTGCTGGGGGTGGGCCAACTCTATACCCTCCCCAGGGTCTCTTCCAGTCCCAGCTCTGTGACAATGAGTAGAGCAGCCTTTTCTGAGCCTCAGTTTCCTGATCTGTAAAATGCAGTTAATCCTGGTCCTACCTCCCACCTGGCCTGGTAAATCTGGCTGGAGGAAAGCCTTTGGCAAATCCTAAATTTACAGTGTGAATGACAGTTGTTATTTCTCCTTACTCCTGGAATTTGCCTCTGATTAGAGGCCCCTGGCTCCTGGCTCCTGGCTCCAGTCTGTCGGGCCCTGTTCATGTTTAAATCCTTTGAAGGCTGAAGCCTCCAGGGCAGGACCCCGCTGCTTCCCTCTCCTCATTCCCTGCTGAGAAGGCCATTGGTTCTGAGGCCTAGTGTGACTCTGGAGATTTGAACATGATTCCCAGCCCCGTCTAACTTTGGGCAAACCCCCTGCCCCTCTGAGCCCCAGTCTCCTCATCTCCAAAAGTTGTTCATTTATTCCACAAACACTTATTAAATGTCTACTGTATGCAGCACGCCGAGAAGGTAACAAGTTAGGAAAAGACAGGGCCGTGCCTCAATAGCACCCAGGAGAAGGATACAATGCAGACGCACCCAATGATGTAGAACATTGCAAGATTTGGGTAGTCAAGGCCTGAAGTAGGATTTCTGGGCTTCAAAGCAAATTCCATCGTAGGGGATGGAGAGACAGAAGAGGCCAGTCCAGTCTGAAGCTAGATGGAGTGTGTCCCAAGCTAGTCTCCCCCTTCTCCCCCGACTCCCAGAATTGGGGATAGAAGCAGGGCTACGACGGCCCCACCCCCGCCTCAGCAGGAAGATGGCGGTGCTGAGGAAGGCCTGCCCAGCTCACCTGGGTGCAGTTGCAAAGTCCAGTCCAGCCCACTCCTCTCTAAATACCTTCAACAAGTGGTCGTCCAAGCGCAAGACCTCCAACGAGAGGCTGCCCACTTCCTCCCAGTGAAGCCGGTGCCACTTTGGGACAGCCAATTATTAGGACATTTTTTTTCCTGACATCCAGGCCGAATCGGCCTCTCTAGGCCACTAGGTGGTGCAATGATAGTGTGTTGTATTTAGACTCTTAATGATCCGAGTTCAAATGCCACCTCAGATACTAGCTGTGTGATCCTGGACAAGTCACTTAAGCTCTAAATGAGGCTAATAAAAGCACCCACCTCCCAGGGTTGTAGTGAGGACATTTGTAAAGTGCTGCTTTGGAAACCTTAAGTGCTGGATAAATGCTATAGAATTACAGATTTAGGTTTAGAGCTGGGAAGGCTCTTTCTGCCTTTTGAATGGCCTTCTCACTGCCAGGTGGCAAGAGACAGGGATAGAGCAAAAGAGTGAAGGAGAGACCCTCATGGCACCCATGGGTGCAGGTTCTACAGAGACTCCTGAGGTCCTGGGCCAGCAGCTTTGCCCTTTGTAGATGGATGTCCCAGAACCCAGCCCCAGCCTGTTTACCCTAGTTCCAGCTCTGTGTGTTAATCTATTTTTTTTTTTTTGTGAGGCAATCAGGGTTAAGTGACTTGCCCAGGGTCACACAACTAGTAAGTGTCAAGTGTCTACAGCCGGGATTTAAACTCCCTTTCTGTCTTTGTATTGTATTCTGACTCCAAGGCCAGAGCTCTATCCACTGAGCCACCTAGCTGCCCCTCTGTGCACTATTCTAAAATAGAGTGCTGGGGGGGAGGGGAGGGGGAAGAGGAAGCTTTGGAAGCAGGTGGCATTGGGCAGACTTTTAGTAAATAAGAAAGGAGAGGTAATCTAGGGAGGAAGATGGTCCTAAATCTTGGCAAAAGCATGAGTCGAGGTGCTGGGGCCTCCTGAAGATAAATTAGGGCTGGCCATCAAGGATCAGCTTGCCTAGCCTAGTGTAACCTGGCGTGTGGTCAGAGGTCCTGGATTTGGATTCTGGCTCTTATGACTTACTACCTTTGTGACTTTGGGCAAGTCACTTGGAATCAGGAAGACTTTGGTTCAGATCATGCCTCTGACCCTCCCTATGTGACCCTGTCTGTGCCTCAGTTTCTTCATCTGTAAAACATGGGGGGTTGTACTTGATGGCTTCTAGGATCTATTCCAGCTTTAAATCTTCTCTCATGATTCTATGCACCAGTCCTGCTCATAGTTTCCCCAATGAATGTAAGCTCAGGGATTGAGGATAGGGCAGGGATTATTTCATTTTGGATCCCCATAGCCGTCATCCCATGATTCAAATGAAGTCTCCCAATGACTTGGTGAGGCTGAAACGTGTTTCTTTAGTTATCCTTCTCCTCCCAGGTAGCAAAGAACTAGTTATAGAGCATTCCAGGCAGGCGCACTGCACCCAAATGTCCCTTGCCTGGCCCACCAGGGATCCTTGGTCACGGTGGTAGCTGAGGCATGCTGAGCTAAGCAGAGTGGCTGCTCCTTCCTGCCTTCTCACCGGCTCTGTGGGTCTTGTCATTTCAGGTCCATGCCCTGGCCCTGACCAGCAGATTTGAGGCCGAGATCAAAGCGGAGCAGATGGCCCGAAAACAGGAGGAGGAGGAACGGAAACACCGGAGGGCTCTCTTCAGAGAGCGCCAAGCGGCCTTCTCCCAGTAACCCCTGCCAGGCCAAATGGTGCCGGAGTGTGGTCAGGGGCTTGCCTTGATGTCCACCAGCTGTGCCTTACCAGTTGACCTGGGAGCGATGCCCAGCACCTTGTCCCCCAAGGAGGACCTGTCTCTTTGAATGTCTAGCATCTTTGTCATCCCCAGTTATGATGACCTTTCTTCTTAAACTTCCTATGTTTTGTGCCCAAGAGGTAACTGGTCACCCTAAGACCTGGGGAGACAGAGTAGGGAAGGTCAAAGTCAAGATGGGAGGAGATTAATTTTGTAAAAAGAGAGGAAATAGCCCCTTTCTTACCTACCCACCAGACAAAGTTTCTAGGATTTGCCATTTTCTTTGTGGCTTTTACTTTCCCTCTATCCCCTTCCTTTTAGCCAAGCCTTTCAAAGAGGAAATGTGGTCTTTTGGCCAAAGAAAGGCACCACTCTTCCATTCCCCTGTGTTCCGTTCCCATGTTCAGGCTGATAGCCTTGCACTCAGCGGAGGTATATGCTGTTGGCTTTGTTATAGATTCTTCCATCCTTCTTCCATCACTCCCAAAGGCAAGGTTATTCAGTCATCCTATCCCCTTCTCCCAGAGTTCAAGGCAGGGGAGGGCTCCAAGAGGTGTGGAGCCCATGGTGTTGGAGGGCTGCAGTTCTAAAAGCCCCTCTTCTATTCTGCCACTTGGACAGGTGGTTTTAAATGGATGGAAAGAAACTGCCTGCCCCGGGGACCCTTTTCCCAACACCCTTCACCTCCACACAGTAACATTTTGTCCCATTGCCAATTTGGATTGAAGGCTTCATGCAGGGTGCCTGAAGCTAACCAGCACACCTGGTCATGGTTCTTCAACCTATAATGTACAGACAGATGGGTCTGGCCCACCATCCATGGCAGGTGGCCATTCCAAGACCTCTGTGCCTCAAACCTTCTGGGAGTACTGAGACTTCATAATGGTTTCTTGTCTTCTCCTTTCTGTTCATGGGGGGCAACCCTTTTTCACCCTCAAGAGTTTTTCCCTTTTGACTTTTTTATCAAAAAAAAAATCATGCTGTTAAAACTGGGCATGGAAGAGTAATGGAAAGAAAGGAATTTGTGATAGATTGCAGAATGACAAGAGTACTTGAAGCTCTTTATCAGTAAAAACAGAATGTTTCTAAGGTCACTCTTACTAACTTGATATTTATTAAGATCTGAGGGTTTTTAGATCTCTTTTGTAGCTGTTCTTTTTCCATGAAGTCAGTGTTTTTCAGCCTTCTTAGTTTTTCTTGCCAAATGAGCTATCAAATAAAATGTATGATCTCACTGGCTTGCTTCTACTCGTGGAATGGCTGGGAGGATGAAGGTCAGAAGGACGAATGGGTCAGATTTGGTTGGGCTTAGTCACTTCGATACCCATGGCTTGGTAAACTGCCCAGATACATTCAGTCCTAGAGCCATGACTGAGTGGGCACCACTAGTTCTCTGAAATATGGGAGGCAGGAATAGGCGAACAGAGTTAGAGCCAGAAGAGACAACTCCCCCATTTTTTACAGGTGAGAAAACTGAGTCCCTGAGAGGGGAAGGGGCTTGTCCAATGTCATGCAGACAATAAGTGGCACAGCTGGGAAGGTCATAGTAGTAATAATAACAGTAGTAACAGCTAGTATTCACATAGCACTTTAAGGTTTGTAAGGTGTTTTACAAATATTATCTCATTTATCCTCACAACAACCATGGGAAGTAGGTGTAGTTATTATCCCCATTTTACAGTTGATGAAACTGAGGCAGATGGACGTTAAGTGACCTGTTATTAAGCGTCTCAGGCTGGATTTGAGCTCAGATCTTCCTGACTCCGAGACCAGTGTTTTATCCATTCTCACCTCCAGCATTAGTGTGGGGAACTCTCAATGCTACTCCCAAATTCATTCATTTATTAAGCATTTATTAAGCGCCTACTTTAGCCAGGTACTAGGAATTCAAAGATAAAAACAAAATTGGCCCTTCCCTCAAGCAGTTTGCATTTGATTGGGGGGAACTGGCTTGGACACAGATTTGAACCCAGGTCTTCCTGACTCCAGGCCCAGCACTCTCTCCTAGTGCTAGAGGGACATCAGTAACCTTTGGGTCAAATCATTTTATTGCTGAGAAAACTGAGGCTCAAGGAAGTTAAATGACTTGCTCACAGTCACCCAAGTGACGTGTCTGAAGTGGGATTTGAACCCAGAGCCAATGTCTCTCCACTGTCCTATGGTTGCTTCTCTGATCTTGGGTCATTCAGTGGCTTCCCATTGCTGAGCAGGGCAGTCTGGCTGGGTGAACACTGGGCTTAGGAAGGATCCACCCAGAATAGCCAAAGCTCTTCTCTCAACAGAATTGGGAGCAGGGTTTTTGTCCTGAATACAAGACAAAGTAAACAGTCTGGGCCTGCAGAGAAGAAACAGGAAAATCTACCCAACCTCTGTTCCTGGCTTCCACATCCCTCATTTCTGATGCCTCCCATCAGATGATCTCCAATTGATCTGCATGTGCCTTGTTTGTATGCGGTTCTTGGTGTGCTGCCTCCCCAATTAGATTGTAAGCTCTTCGAGGCCAGGGCCAGTGTCTTTGTATCCACTGTGCCTGACACATAATAAGTGTTTGATAAATACTTGTTTTCTTGACTTGAGAGGTGGGAGCCTATGTGTGTAGAATATTAGATATGCTGTCAAAGGTGTTTACTGTGTCACTTGGGATTTTTTGCGAGGGAAGACTCGCTGAATAAAGTGTTAGAGTGTGTTTGGAAAAGTCTGATGTAAAAACACAAGGCATCAATAAAACAATGTTCCAAATAAAAACAGACCTCAGAAGGTCTGTTCGTATTCTTTGCTGTGATGTGGGTCTGTCACTTCTCATTGGTAAAATGACAGGTTAGACCGGCAGCTCTGTAAAATCCCTGATAATCTAAGCCTCCCTTCAGTGGGCTCTCAGGCCCACATTTGGCTGGGCAGTGGCTGGGAAGGGGCTCAGGAGTCATCAAGAAGGAGGATCCTCTTCCACCGGCTTGTCAGGATTCTCACCAAGGACTCGGGGAACGCCTTGCTGCCTCTAGGATCAGAAACTTTGCTTTTGGCCTTCGAAGCCCTTCAGGGTCTGGCTCCATTCTTCTGCCCAGCCGTTTCCTCTTCACACACTAACCAAACTGCTCTCTTGTTCCAAGTACATAGAATCCCATGTCCCAGGCTGGAGCTGCTGTTTGCTCATAGAATCCTGGCTTCCTTCAAGCACAGCCCACCCAAGACCTTGCCTGGTGCCCCCAGCCGTCGGCCCAATCTCACTCTGAAATTACTTGGTAACGTTTTCTATATACTTTGTATTCACTTACTTGGGTACATGCATCGTCTGTCCCGAAAACAGAATGTAAGGTCCTTGAGGGCAGAATCTCTCAAGTTTTGTATTGCCAGTGCCTGGCAAGTAGTAGACACATAGTGGCAGCTAGGGGGCGCCACAGTGCACAGTGCTGGCCCTGGAGTCGGGAAGACCTGAGTTTAAAGTCTGGTCTCTGACACTTACTAGCCGTGTGAGCCTGGATAAGTCACTTAACCCCCTTTTTCCTCTTTCTCTAACTTTAAAATAATACTACTTATCTCACAGGGTTCTTGTGAAGATCAAATGAGATAATATTTGTAAAACACTTAGCAAGTGCCTGGTACATAGAAGGTGCTAAATAAATTCTTGTTTCCTTTCCTTCCTTCCTCCCTCTCTTCCTTTCCTCCTTTCCTCCCTTCTTTCCTTCCTTTCTTCCTTCCCCTCCTTCTTTCGTTCCTTTCTTCTTGAGAGTAGGGACTGTTTCTGGCATTTATATCTCCAGTGTCTATCAAGGACACATAGTAAGTGCTTGTTCAAATTCTGACCTTGGGCACCTCTGGGCCTCAGTTTCCTTCTCTGTAAAATGAAGGGGATTGGACTACATGGGCCCCAAGATCCCTTCCAGCCCTGCAGCTATAATCCTATGAAGGGCTAGACCTTAAAAAGAGGCTCAGAGGTGCCAGGTCACAGCACCAGTGGAAAATCACTCACTTTAAGGACTATACTTGCAGGTGGGTGGATGAATGAGTAGGAGAAACATTCCTGGGGGAAGGGGGGGGTCAGAGGAATGACCCAAGATAAGGTCATTAACTTTCCATTAGTCACCAGGGTTCAAGTGTCAGCCAGCAGTAGGGAAGAAGGGGAGGGGAGCCTCCAGGGCCCCAAGCACATCCCTCAGCACTTGGCTTGGACAGCCCCCCTCCCCCCAGCACAACTTAATACACCGGCTATTCTGGCATTTTAAATCATGTGTTAAAAATATGCTTTTACTATTTTTATACAGCCAAGTTTTCTCTGCACCAGAAAGCTTTTTTTTTTTTCAAAAATTTGAAAGTCTATAGTCGGCTACTTTAGATTGCAAATTGTTGTGAAATCTCGTGCCAAGAAGGTAATCTCTGATTCAAACTCCCAGTTTTGAGTTATTGGCTGCAAATAGCTTTTGGATTTCTCAGCATCCCTTCCCATCCTGGATTCTGGGAGACAAAAATAGGACTTTTAACAGATAAAAATAACCCCCTATTTTTAGCTTGGAGAGCATGGAACTCCTCTGAACCATCTTTTTCATCTAAAGATGGCTCATATTTTGTTAATGTCATTGAAAATTTCCGAAGGGATGAGGATGAAGAAAGCTATTTTATATCCATTGATTAGGAGGCTGTGTGGCACAGCGAGAAGAGTTTGGAGTGAGACAATCTATGGGTTTATATTGCAGCCCTGCTCTTTCCTCCTTGGGTGACCTTGGGCCAATCCCGCCATCTCTCTTGGCCTCTAAAATGAGGGATGGGGCCTAGCTGGTCTTGGAGGTTCATTGCAGCTTAAATCTCTAAGCCGACAGATCTAGAGATCAATGAGGTCTGAAGCCATTAATGCTAGGGTGGGTCTCAGTCACAGATTTTTGGTTTATAGCAGGGGTTTATAAATAGCATTTCTAGGGCGCTTTAAGGTTAGCAAAGCACTTTCCAAATATTAGCTCATTTGATCCTCACATCAACCCTGGGGCATAGGCACTATCATAATCCTCATTTTACCCATGAGGAAACTAAGGCGGACAGAAGCTAAGTGACTTGCCTAGGGTCACCACAACCAGTGTCTGAGGTCACATTTGAACTTGTCTTCCTGGGTTCAATGCTCCCTGCACTGTGGCGCCACCTAGTGGCCTCCTAAGGTTCTTAACCTTTTTGGTGTCATGGACCCTTTAGGAATCTGATGAAACCTCTGGGGTGGACTTGTTCTCCGATTATTCTCATTATTCTGTTTTTAAATGGATAAAACAAAATACAGAGGGCTACAAAGGAACTATACTGAATTTTACTCTCTTATTCTTTTTTTTTTTTTTTTTTTTTGCAATTGGGGTTAAGTGACTTGCCCAGGGTCACACAGCTAGTAAGTGCCAAGTGTTTGGTCTGAAGCCACATTTGAACTCAGGTCATCCTGACTTCAGGGCCTAGCTGCCCCTTCTTTTATTCTTAATTATGCTGAATTACACAGTTATACTGAAATGCAGTCATCAAGATGTTTAAAAATCAAGTACCTAATAGGGGCAGCTAAGAAGTGCAGTGGATAGAGCACCGGCCCTGGAGTCAGGAGGACCTGAGCTCAAATCCGGCCTCAGACACTTGACACTTACTAGCTGTGTGACCCTGGACAAGTCACTTAACCCCAATTGCCTTGAAAAAAGAAAAGAAAAAGAATCATGCATATTGACTCTGAAGGGACCTTTGAGAGTGACTCTTTGAACTCACAGGTGAAGTAAGGGAGGACCAGGGAGGGAGGAGTCGCTCCATTACATATAACCTTGAGGGCAGGGGCTTGCCTCATTTTTGTCTTTAGTTTTGTCCAACTCCTGACGATGCCTGGTACATGAGAACCGCTGAATAACTGGTCTTTGAGAGGCTGGTTAATTGGCTAAGACCCCACAGGTAGTAAGTGGCCTGAATTCTCTGATTCCAAATCCAGCCCTTTCCACTTTAGCATAAGTGAGGCTTAACTAGAGAATCTCTGCTTGTTCTCTTAATGTGTATGGGAGGGGGCAGGGCAGGCTTGTTAGAAAGCTCCTTTGGTCCATGGAAAGACTGTGCAGCAGTGATGGTGCCATTTGCCTCCAACATGATTCCTCCAGACTCTAGCCATAGGATGTGAAGTCCCCTGGGGCCAATAGCTTCGTGCCTTTAAACCTCAGTTTCTTAACCTGGGGTCCCTGGACTGGGTGGGTGGGTTGGTTCTTTAAATATTCTGATCACTACCTTTCAATGTAACTGGTTTCCTTTGCATTCCTGTGTCTTTTATTCTAGGTCTTTAATGGCATAAATCTGAGAAGGAGTAGATGCCGCTCACCAGAGTGATGGCCAAAGGGGTCCAGGACCCAAATAAGGTGAAGTCCAAACCTAGGGTAGTGAGCAAGAAATAGATAAGGAAGAAGGGCCTGTGATAAAGGCCTGTTGACAAGCAATCCCTTCCCCATCCCCATCCCCATCCCCATCACTGGCCAGCAGCCGAGGAATCCTGCCCTTTAACCCTTCCTGTGCCCTGGCAAAGAAAAAGCCCATCCTGTTTAAAGCAGTTCCTGTCATCGAGTAAAGACCCAATAAGGCCCAATAGGCTGGCCAGTGTCTGGCTTTTAAAAAATTAAAATGCTATTTTGTTTC